TGAAAGCTAGATACTAAATCTTCGTAGTAATATTCTTATAACCTACAAGTAGTTTCAAAGGTGCAGCATATTATATCTTAGTCAACAAGACACTTCTTGTTAGGTCAGAAGATGGCTATCCTTGTGCACACTAGACCAATGTAAGCTCCTAAAGAACCCACACACTTAGTTGTGGATGGCTCAGCAGGTCTGGCAGCATCTGTGGAGGAGAAAACAGAGTTAATGTTTCGGGTCCGGTGACCCTTCCTCAGAACTGATGGTAACTGGGAAAACGTCAGTTTGTATGCAGAAAATAGGGAGGTGGGTGGGGTAGGGAGTAAACGATAGGATAGAGCCCAAAGAGAGAGAAAGACAGTTGGACAGACAAAGGAGTTGCTACAGGGTGAATAGATTCTAGATTCTTGGAAGTGTAGGTGAAGTGTTGCTTCACCTGGAAGGTATGTTTGGGTCCTTGGATACTGGGGAGGGAGGAGGTAAATGCGCAGGTGTTGCACCTTTGCCGGTGACAGGGGAAGGTGCCGTAGGGCTGTGGGGAGTGTTGGGGGTGAAGGAAGTATGGACCAGGGTGTCCCAGAGGGAACGGTCCCTGCAGAAGGCGGACAAGGGAGGGGAGGGGAATATGTGTCTGGTGGTGGCATCTTGCTGGAGGTGGCGGAAATGGTGTCTGATGATCTTCTGGATGTGGATGCTGGTGGGATGGTAGGTGAGGATAAGGTGAACCCTATTGCTGTTGCAGGGGGGAACAGAAGGGATGAGGGCAGAAGTGCGGGAGATGGGTCGGACCCGATTGAGGGCCCTGTCGACAACAGAGCTGGGGAATCCTCGGTTGAGGAAGAATGTGGACATTTCGGAACACCTGCGCATTTACATCCTCCCTCCCCAGTATCCAAGGGCCCAAACGTACCTTCCAGATGAAGCAACACTTCACCTGCACTTCCAAGAATCTAGTCTACTGCATTCGCTGCTCACAATGTGGTCTCCTCTACATTGGGGAAACGAAGTGAAGACTTGGCGAAAACGTCGCAGAACATCTACATTCTGCTCGCAAAAAAGACCCTGAACTACCTGTTGCCTGCCACTTCAATGCACCACCTTGCTCCCTGGCCAACATCTCTGTCTCCTGCTTGCTACAGTATTCCAGTGAAGTCCAGCACAAGCTGGAGGAACAACACCTCATTTTCCGCTTGGGGACCCTACAGCCTTCCGGACTCAATATTGAGTTCAATAATTTTAGGGCCTAAACTCTCCCATGTCCCAGCCCCCCACCCCACACACCAGGCCTTGTTACCACATAGCCTGCCACTACACATCCCCTGTTGTTAGTCACTAACAGTCCCCATTAACAACTAT